AAGGAGAAAACACACAGAATATATATGGCTCCCAATCAGAGATAACGAGCCGACAGCTGACACTCGTTACCTCCGATTGGGAGTCATAGACCAATCACCACATGACACAAACAAAATGAGACTCACCCATTCCCAACACCACCAAATGAAATACACCCAACACAAGAAAATGAACAACCCTGGCTCAATATAAACGTCCATAGAGCCAGAGTGTTACAGTACCCCCCCCTAAAGGTGCGAACTCCGGGCGCACCAGCATACAGTCTAGGGGAGGGTCTGGGTGGGCGTCTGTCCACGGTGGCGGTTCTGCTTCTGGTCGTGGTCCCCATCCCACCTTAGTCACTCTCCGCTTCCGTCCTCCCTTCCTCATGACCACCCCCCAACTCAACCCCACAGGATTAAGGGGCGGCACCGGACTCAGGGGCAGCACCGGGATAAGGGGCAGCACCGGGACAAGGGGCAGCACCGGACTACGGGGCAGTACCGGACTAAGGGGCAGCACCGGGATAAGGGGCAGCACCGGGACAAGGGGCAGCACCGGGACAAGGGGCAGCACCGGACTACGGGGCAGTACCGGACTAAAGGGCAGTACAGGACTAAGGGGCAGCACCGGGCTAAGGGGCAGTACCGGACTACGGGGCAGCACCGGACTAAAGGGCAGCACCGGGCTAAGAGGCAGTACCGGACTACGGGTCAGCACCGGGCTAAGGGGCGGCACCGGACTCAGGGGCAGCACCGGACTAAGGGGCAGCACCGGGCTGAAGGGCAGTACAGGACTAAGGGGCAGCACCGGGCTAAGGGGCAGTACCTGACTAGATGGCGGATCCTGGCTGGCTGGCTCTGGCGGATCCTGGCGGGACGGCTCTGGCGGATCCTGGCGGGACGACTCTGGCGGATCCTGGCGGGACGGCTCTGGCGGATCCAGGCTGGACGACACTGGCGGATCCTGGCGGGACGGCTCTGGCGGATCCAGGCTGGACGGCTCTGGCGGATCCAGGCTGGACGGCTCTGGCGGATCCTGGCGGGACGGCTCTGGCGGATCCGGGCTGGCCGGCTCTGGCGGATCCTGGCTGGCCGGCTCTGGCGGATCCTGGCGGGACGGCTCTGGCGGATCCTGGCGGGACGGCTCTGGCGGATCCGGGCTGACCGGCTCTGGCGGATCCTGGCTGGCCGGCTCTGGCTGATCCTGGCTGGACGGCTCTGGCGGATCCAGGCTGGACGGCTCTGGCGGATCCAGGCTGGACGGCTCTGGCGGATCCTGGCTGGCCGGCTCTGGCGGATCCTGGCTGGCCGGCTCTGGCGGATCCTGGCTGGACGGCTCTGGCGGATCCTGGCTGGCCGGCTCTGGCTGATCCTGGCTGGCTGACGGATCTGGCTGCTCATGGCTGGCTGACGGATCTGGCTGCTCATGGCTGACTGACGGATCTGGCTGCTCATGGCTGGCTGACGGATCTGGCTGCTCATGGCTGGCTGACGGATCTGGCTGCTCATGGCTGGCTGACGGATCTGGCTGCTCATGGCTGGCTGACGGATCTGGCTGCTCATGGCTGGCTGACGGGTCTGGCTGCTCATGGCTGGCTGACGGGTCTGGCTGCTCATGGCTGGCTGACGGATCTGGCTGCTCATGGCTGGCTGACGGGTCTGGCTGCTCATGGCTGGCTGACAGATCTGGCTGCTCATGGCTGGCTGATGGTGCTGGCTGGGAGGCTGGCGGTGGAGGCGGACCCCAGCCTCGGATAGCAGTCATCACCTCCAGCAGGGCGGCTCCCATCTGCAGGATCTGCTCTTTCTGGTTCCGAACCTGAGCTTCCAGTCTAGTATGGGCTGCGTCGGCTCCTGCTGATTCCATAGCAGGTGTCTGATTCTGTCTGGCGGACGGCTCTGCAGGCTCATGGCAGACGGACGGCTTTGCAGGCTCAGTACAGACGGGCGGCTTATGCAGCGCTTGGCAGACGGGCAGTTCAGACGCCCTAGGACAGACGGCAGACTCTGGCCGGCTGGCGACGCACATCGTGGACCTGGTGCGTGGAGTAGGAACAGACCGGCCCGTACCGGGAACACCCACCACTGGCCTTAACTGGGGATCAAGAACGGACCGGACCAGACTGGGAACACACTTCAGTCTCTCATGCCGTGCCACAACAACTTCCCCCTTTCCACTCGCCAATGGCTCCCGTACTCCGAATGCCTTCTCTCCAGCTCTACCTGTGGCAGCCTCCTGCTGCCCAGGCGCCCAAGCCATGTGCCCCCCCCAAAAAAATTTTTGGGGAGTAACCACGGGCTTCCAGCCTCGACTCCGCGCTGCCTCCTCGTACCACCTCCTCTCGGCTGCAGCCGCCTCCAGCTCTTCACGAGGGCGGTGATATTCCTCCATTTGTGGCCAAGGACCCTTTCCAGCCCGTATCTCCTCCCATGTCCATGAATCCGTTGGAGGTAGGTCCTGTTGCCGCTTGTTACGCTGCTTGGTCCTCTTTTGGTGGGTTATTCTGTCACGATCGTCTGAAGGAGGAGACCAATGCGCAGCGTTGCGAGTGAACATGATGACTTTATTTACTTAAAGCAACCACGAAGAAAAAACAACAAATGACGATCCGTGAAGTTCTATACAGAATACTACTAACAGCAACAAAGAAACAATAACCCACAAAACAAAGGAGAAAACACACAGAATATATATGGCTCCCAATCAGAGATAACGAGCCGACAGCTGACACTCGTTACCCTCCGATTGGGAGTCATAGACCAATCACCACATGACACAAACAAAATGAGACTCACCCATTCCCAACACCACCAATGAAATACACCAACACCCAAAAAAATGAACAACCCGGGTCATATAAAACGTACATGAGCCAGAGAGTGGTTACATTTCTTTGTTTTTCTTTTCTTTTTTTTCTTTATTTTTTTATCTTCTTTTTTTTCTTTCTTTCTTTTCTTTTTCTTTCTTTCTTTCTTTCTTTCTTTTTTTCTTTCTTCTTTTTTCTTTTATATCGTGCTCCTTCCTCTTGTCTGTATTCTTTTCCATGGTTCCTTGATAGGTCCCACTTTGGTAATTTGGGTGTTTTTTTCTTTCCCCTTCCCCCCCCGGGGCCCCCCTTTTCCACCCCTCCTTTTGGGGCCCCCCGGGCCCCCCCGCCCAGGGGGGGAACCTTTTGGCCACCCCCCCTTTTTTTTAAAACCGGGGGGCTTTCCGCTTTTCGGTGCTTTGCCCTTTTTTGGGTTTCGGCCCGTCTCAAGGGCCCGGGAAAATCCCCCAAAGGAAAACCCCGTTTATTCCCCCACAAAAGAAAACCCCAAACTGCCCTCCTTTGGGGTTTTCCAATCCAAAACCCCAACAAAAAAAAAAAAGGAAAAAACAAGAAATAACCCCCAAGAAAAACAACTTCAAAAGTCCTAAGAATACACTCCCCCAAAAACCCTCCCCCCCCCCCCTTTCCCCTTTCTCCCCTTTCCTTTTTTTTCTTTTTTTTCTTTTCCTTTTCCCTTTTTTTCCCCCAAACCCCTTTTCCCCCTTTTTCCCTTTTTTTTTTTTTTTTCCTTTTTTCCTTTTTTTCTTTCTTTTTCTTTCTTTTTTTCCCCTTTTTTTCCTTTCTTTTTTTCTTTCTTCTTTTTTTTTTTTTTCTTTTTTTCTTTTTTCTTTCTTTCTTTTTTTTTTTTTTTTTTTTTTCTTTTTTTTTTTTCTTTCTTTCTCCTTGTTGCATCGGTGCTCAAAATTCCCTTTTTTTCTTCTCGCCTCTTCCAGGTTCTCCTGATAGCGTCCCACTCTCTTGGTATATTGGCTGTTTTTTACATTTTCCCTGGTTGTGTTGAAATTCCCTTTTCCAATGCTCAGCCCTAGCTCTCTAACAAGGCATAAGGAAAACCTTATTAACCAAAGACGTGTTTGGTTTCAAAGTAGACTATCCCCTTCATCCCAACAAGAGAAATTGTCCATGAGAGTGTAATCTGTTTGGGCCTTGCTAACGTTCCTCTCCAGGTCCCTCTCAGAGGACAGGGACAGATATTCAAAATGGCAGCCTGTGTGGAGAGGGCACGTCTAGGCTCCGTCACCCTTCAGATAACATCCCGACCTAGCCGCAGCCTGAAAGCCCTTTTCTCCTTCCCTTGCTGTGAAACGAGCCTCAGACAAATTTGATTTAGCAGCTCGCGGGTGCCCGTTCCTGGGGAAAGAAAACAAATATTGTTATAATGGTAATAACATCTATTTGCCGCTCGCGACAAACGGCAGCGGGCCTTTGAAAAGAGCCTGCGCCCCGCCGCCACCTTATTCTTATTCATGAAAGCGCCGGTTATGCATATTAGCGCAAACTAGCTATTCTACTCACCAGCATTTGGTGTGTCAATCATCCTTACGGAATACAAGAGGCACCGGTGACAAAAGCGGAGAGGGCAAGAAGGCTGACAAATTGTCCCCAAAGTCAAATTTGACAGCCTTTTATGATTAATGGGCTTGATTATGGAGAAATATCTCCCTAACTCATTTCCGGCTGTTTCTCTTTTCTCCTTCGTATCGAAATGGAGAGGAATGGAGATTGCGTTGTTTGCAAATGTGGGGGGGGGGGGGGGGGCAAATGAAATAAAAAGGGGGGTACCTGAGAGGCTTAGAGTGAGGGAGGTGCAATTGAATTAGTTAGGAATGCTCTGTGAAAGGGATAGCGACTGGGACAGGTTGAGTGGAAGGTCTCAAGCTTAATAAATAGCATAGAAGAAAGACAGAGACGTGATGGTGGAGGAAGAGATCGGTGGAGGAAGAGATCGTCTGACACTGGGCTGACACTCTCAAGGCTATTGTAGAGCACACGTATCAGGGCAGGACAGCCAGGCAGGGGAGATATGTTACTCTAGAATGTGATATAACACCTTCATAAGGCCTACATAGGCATTCAGGCATGGAATCAAGAAACAAATGCATATGTGACATTGGAAGCTTAAGAAGAGCAATGCATGTTTGAGCTGTTTCACCTTGTTTGTAGAGATATCGCTCAGCAATGTTTTAACCATGATAATTCTCTCTATTTCCAGCCTTGAATGAGCCCACCATTGACTACGGCTTCCAGAGGCTACAGAAGGTCATCCCCAGACACCCAGGAGATCCCGAGAGGTTACCTAAGGTAAGTGGCACGCCTCATAGGACACCAAGGAGTACAGCATCCCCTGTTGTTACTCCAAAGACCACCCAGACTTCAGACTGCCAAATATCTGAGTTTATAAACCTGATTTGTTAGATTTGGATTAATTCGTTCCATTCAATGTGAACCTGGCCCTAAGAACAGGCTCTGATGCCAAGGGGCACATTGTTCTTATAACTCGTACAATTGGAAACAGGTGTTCCTGGTCTGGTTGTTTTTAGGTTTGAGGTAGCAACAGCCATGCATATGCAAAGTCACTTATACATACATGTACACATGAGTGTATGCAAGGCTCAACACTGCCTTTCAGACACACATGATCAATATTTGTGCACGCACCCACGCACACACTCAGGCACAGACTCAGGTAGGGCCAAGAACACAAGCAGCCGTCAGGTGTCCTGGGCGGTTTGCCGCCTGGTTAGTATGAAAAGATTATTTTCCCCCTAAAAGGAGCTGCACTAAATGAGTGAGATTCTTTTGGGCAGGGAACTGCTGTAAAGGGGGATATGATCAGATGGGGCCTGACAGTCTAAAGCAGCTGCCAAATTGAAACCATTTATCAAAATCTGACATCTGAGATCCAGTCACCAAAAAAGTAGTTTATTTGTAAATTGATACTAATAGTGAGCATATATTGTCTGGCCCCTTTGATGCCCTGATTTGTGGCAGAGGGAGAATGTCCCCATCAGCCTTTATATATTTATTTATTCAAAAGAAACTCAATATGCAAATAGATTTTCCTCCGTCTTCCGTCCAGCCGCGAGCTTTCCCTGCATTTTAGACAGAAGGAAATAACAACAAGACTAACACCTTAAAGCTTGCCATTCATGAAGTACTTCATTGCTCTCACCCAATGTGACTTGTCAGGACAGACTCACACAATCACTCGGGAACAGTTACGTTGACATTTCATCCCTTTGTTATCCTCTCTCCTTTCCTTTTCTTGTAGGACAGAAAGGTTGGCCAGGAGCGATAGTAGAATGTTTGTCTCTTAGGCAGGGAGCAAAGCTCCCCCAAGCTACATCAAGAGGCTATAGACACCAAACCTTGGTATTGGAACCACTTAAAGTCAAATTGAATTATTATTTTTTTTAACAGGAAGCAACAGAGCAAGTCTAGAAGGGTGGGAATAAGAGGGATTCCATGTAAATAATGATAGGAGGGAAACACTAAGATAGGAAAACACTGGCCGTCGTTCCTCTAGGCTCCTTTGGTTTTCGTGTTTCCTTTGTAGCCGATAAACCCCTGTTTAGTTATTAGATTAGGAGGTTGGCGGCCACACTTCTCCAACGAGCCGGTCTCAGAGCTGGAACCCTAGCCTCAATGAGCTGGAACCCTAGCTCCAGTGATGGACAGACAGACCAGACTGGTGCTAAAGCATGGCCAACTGGTCACTGATGACCTCGGAGGCTGGGGCTGGATCAGGTTCGCCTCTAATTTCATTTCCAGTCTGCCTTGGCTGCAAGCGGACACTTCCCTGTCCAGATCTATAGAGGATATGTGGAACGGGTTCAAGCTCTAGCCTCCCCTCATTGCTCAGCATGGGAGGCAGCAGCATATTTTTGCGAGCGCCGCTCCATTCCAGGACCTTTGCAGTAGAAGACCCAGACCCATTCCCAGGTCACGGCAAGTTTAACGGCCTATGAATCCTCTTAAATAGACACCTGGATGGTGATGCATTCCTTACATGTGGAGGGCCTATTTTCCTAAGATACGGCCATAAGGGAGGCCTGTTTTGATACAGAGCAGACAAACAAATGGAGACTAAGCTAAAAAGTAAACCGAGGTGAAGAGTTTGTGTTAAGGGCAAAAAAAAATATGTTCAGGTCTCATATGATCTCGGAGATTAGATGTGTTTTCCACCTGTTTGGCCATTACGTTGGAATTAACTGCCAGGGTTAGGGGCCAATTGTATTTGAATGCAATAGTTAGTGCTGGGCTGGAATAAAAGCCTGCACACCCTGTAGCTTTTCAGTACCTGAGCTGTGAGTGTGCACCCCTGATCTAGATGATGTACTGAAGAGATCAATGTCGGGGTATGGTGTGGAAGCAGTAGCTAGCCATAGCCTTTCCTGTGTGTTGTAGCTAGGTGGCTATGGGACGACTGTGCAGAGCCAGGCTAGGGGTGATTTATCATTGTTAAGGGACCTGTCGGATGGCTTCTTCTCCTGGGTCAGCTGATCCCTTCTCTCCGGGCACCTCTCGAACCAGGGAGCCATCCTCCCATAATTGAGCCCCTGGAAAGCAATGGAAGAAAATACGAAAAAAATAAAGTGGAATATGTCTGGAGACAGACGCAAGGAGGACTGGGGCGTTGGGGGCCAGGGGCAGGGGCTGGGGCTCAGGGGGGTTGGGTTAGGTGAGGTGGGTAAAAGAGATTCAACTACATGAAGTATGATAAAGGTGCATTCCATAACTTTTCCACATGAAAATAGCACTTATTAAAGGAATGTATATCTGTAATAGTAAAGAAATTCAATTCCTTGAGAGAAATACCTTTTCGTTACTTGTCACTCACCATTTAAAAATTACAGTCGAGGAGAAGTGAAATAGACAGGGTTTCAAGTCGATAGGTAATTAATTGTAATTTAACTTATAGATTTTCTCAAATTCAATGAATCAATTGGAGAGAAAAATCCTAATATAAAATGATCTGCATTTTTCAACTCATGAATCAAATTGGAATTCATTTCCTCAATCGACCTGACTTGAAGATGACACTCTTTCATATCTCGCTCTTTCATATCGTTCTCCTTGTGAGTTATTCCACCTGGAGCTCTGAAGTACCCTTAAGACATCCACTCTCTAGATGTGTGGTCTGTCGCTCCAGAATGCTGGATGTGACTTTCCCTCTTGGCCCTGAGACAGACGAGAGTAGAGCATGGTGGATGAAATGATTTCCCCCTCTGTCTGAGGTCGTAAAACCTGTTTTTCCCCCAGTCTAAGTCATCAGTGTAGAGGTTTCCAGGATAGGGGCTGGGAACAGACTCATCCTACTCTCACAGAAGGAGGGAGTCTCTTGTTGGGCCAACTTCTTATCCCTTACTGGCAGTAGACCCACTGAGGATGAAGGAGAGAACACTCCCCCCCCCCCCCCCCCCCCCCCCCCCCCCCCCCTCTCGCTCTCTGTCTGTCTCTCTGTCTCTCTCTCTCGCTGTCTCTCTGTCTCTCTCTCGCTGTCTCTCTCTCTCACTGTCTCTCTCTCTCTCTCTTTGTGTCTGTGCAAAGTGCTTGCATGCATGTGCGAGTGTGTGTTTTCTGTATGCTGAGAGTTTACCATCACAGACTGTACATTACTCCTCTATGGTTAGAATTCAGTGTAAAACATTGTACTAGAGTATTCAGTGCATTTCCATGCAATTTTCACTTTCAGTGAGTCTTTCAACCCTTGCATATTCCATGTTATACGTTTATTCATATTGCAAATGGGTAATTCCAAGAATCAAGATATTACCTTTATATTTAATTTAAGTGACACTCACACTTTATACTAGTACTAAACCAGCATTTTACACACCATGGACACTTCCATAGTATCTTCATCTGCCGAATCTCTCAGTTCATTGGCTGAGGTGAATTATTGAATGAGCCGACACGCTGCTTCTAACCCTCCATCCCTCTTTCCCTCCGTCCATCTCTGAGAGGAAGTGCGGAGCGGCCTGACCCCCCCCAGAGATGTGGGCCAGTGATAAGAGATTATGATGATAACTGGGAGATAGTGCATTACAGTATTGATTGTGTTAAAACACCCGCGCTCTGATTGCCGGCATTTGCGCTGACAGGAATCCAATGGCGCTGTCTCTCCGCGCCACTAAAGGGAGGGGTGTGTGTGCATGTGTGTGTGGGTATATGGGTGTAGGGAGGGTGAGTTTGTATGTGGATATGTGTGTATGTGTGTGTGTGGTATGGTTCACGGCAAGGCAGTGCATCGCCCATATCTCACCTCCACACACACATGCTTCACACCCCCACCCCAACAGCTACAGTATCAGGCCCAGGCATAGATAACCCTCACTGTTATGTCGCAAAGTGCTGTGATGTATTTCCAATTGTCCAAGTCAAGTAACATGAAATGAAATGAGGTTCTTACGAGAGACGGCCTGTTCTTCGTTGGTTACCCTTTGTTGTTATTGTTAAGAGATAATTAGCTAAAGCTAGCCATCAGTGAGCTGAGGAATTTCTGTACATAGCGAACAGCTTTACTTATTCTACGGTAATACTCTGGAGCAGGATTTCCCAAACTCGGTCCTGGGGCCCCCCCTGGATGCACTTTTACCCGGGGGGGGGGGGGGGAGGGGGGGGGAATCCCTGCTCCGGAGAATGTACTCCAAATAGTATTTTCTTTGCATTTGTTTGAGAGATTCTGGTTAGTTAGGGCAGTTGTTCTTAGGATCAGAAAATGGCCTCACACTTCAAACAATTGAACACACAAACACACACACAAACACACACACAACACACACACAAACACACACAACACACAAACACACACACAGAGTAGCACCAGCGAGTAGTAAAGCCTGGAAGGCGTCATTAACTTGAGAAGGCTGTTGTGTCTGTCATCGCCTAATGAAAATACAAGAAGAGAGACCGACTGTGGCAAACACACACACACCAGTGTGTAGAGGCAGGAATGTGTGTGTGCTAATGTTTGTGAGTGCATGTGCACTAACACGTGTGTGTTTGTGTATGTGTGTGTCCGTACGTATTTGTGTTTGAGGCGGCAGGGCGGGAGGGGGTTGCCAAAGTTCCCTGTGGCAGGCAGGGTGTTGCAGCCGCCAAGCCTCAGAGACATTAACTAACTTCTGTTTTATAATGGAGATTAATGAAGCGAGCGCATGCCAGAGGGGAGGAGAGAGGATGAGAGGGTAAAGGATGAGAGGAGAAGAGGAGAGGAGGGGTCTGAGACACTCCTCACAGTGGTAGATATGTTGGCAGTGCCAGGGTGTGACAGATTGTGCCCTCTCTCAGTGGATAGAGGTTTGGGCGTAGGGACTGGGGGTGGGATAGAGATTGACAGGAGCTATATTGCTTGGTTGCGGTGGGGGTAGCGGTGTGTGTGTGTCTGTGTGACTTTGTGCCTGCAGGATAGCTGCGGGGTCAGTAGGAGTGTTGGGGTAGGCAGGTGGGTCGGCATGCTCACCAAGGAGAGGCACAGAGGAAGGGCACATTGGCAAGGTGGATCTCAGATAGATGTGAAACATAATTTGATCACTCTTTTGTTACTGAGAAATGGAAACTTTAGTGTATTTCAGGTTTAAAAAAGCTTCTAAAGTTTGTAATTTCCGCTTTTTGCCCTAACGAAAAATGTTATCAAGCCTTACAAAAAATGTCCATTATTTATAATCCACATAATAATTCACCATTCCTGTTGCTGCAGGATTATTTTCCTACTGTAACAAACTGTCTCAAATTAAGATCCTACATCTGTACACACGCACGAATGCAAACACACATACACACACACACAAACACACACATATGTTCACACATGGTCTTTATAAAAAAAAATGTGCACATGGTAAAAAAAAAAACTCTACTAATATGTTCATAAAACAAGTGAATCTAATTTCCTTTTAAGCATATATTCTGGAGAGAATATATTAAGTAAAAACGCACACACCCCTTCCTCACTGTAACTCAAGTCAGTACGCCTGCCCATCAGCACGCCTGCCCATCAGTACGCCTGCCCATCAGTACGCCTGCCCATCAGTACGCCTGCCCATCAGCACGCCTGCCCATCAGTACGCCTGCCCATCAGTACGCCTGCCCATCAGTACGCCTGCCCATCAGCACGCCTGACCATCAGCACGCCTGCCCATCAGTACGCCTGCCCATCAGTACGCCTGCCCATCAGTACGCCTGCCCATCTGGGCAGATGGTTATTCCTCAGGCTGATTCGAACTGAATTATTTTTCCTGAGGTCATATTTTGTCGTGGGAAATGGGGGACAGAAAGGAAAGCGCATCCTCCTGGACTCTTACCCTGTCAAACACTGAACACAGGGCCAACAGTGAGGGAATATTTAAATGATTAAACGACAAGAAAAAAAGTTCTTCCCAGATACATGTTCACCACAGCACTGCACATTTCCTTTGACAGCGTTTTAGGTCAAGTTAAAATATATATATTTTTACAACACAAGGAAAAGTCTAGATGTGTTGTAGGAACCAATCAGACTCCAGACAAGCAGACAGAGGCCCCTCCTCGTTGTAATACCCCAGAGACCTCCAGCAGAGGCTCCCACAACACCAGCTCTCATCCCCAGAGCCCTGGAAACAACAACCAACCCAGCCCTCCCCACCTCACTCACTCCTCCTCTCCTCTCCTCTCCTCTCCTCTCCTCTCCTCTCCTCTCCTCTCCTCTCCTCTCCTCTCCTCTCCTCTCCTCTCCTCTCCTCTCCTCTCCTCTCCTCTCCTCTGCTCTCTCATTCCTCCAGTTAAAAGGCACAGGGCCATGTGTGAATGTGTGAGTGTTTGTCCCCCCATTTAGCCCAGGCGAGTGTCAGCAGACCCTATTTATCTATCTATCAGGCCTGTTATTGTTATTAAGAGCCATTGCCACAGCGACCCACTGGGCTGCCGGGGAGAGATTGGACGCTTCCTCCTCTGGGTGGTGGGAAAACAGCCCGGGGGCAATGGAGGAGGTGGGGGAGGTGGGGGATGGATGATGGAGGGAGAGAGAGAGAGAGCAGGAGGGAGGGGTGAATTAGGCAGGGGAAATTCAATAAACAGATGCAATGTGGCTCTAATAAGCTGGGGTCTGAAGTGGCGGATCGGAAGCACCGAAGGCAGTCTGAAAGTGTTAATGGGTTCCCACCACCTCAGGCTTCTTCCTTCCCTCTTCCCTCTTCCCTCTTCCCTCCAGGGTGCATCGGCAGCCATTTTGATTAGAGGCCTGGTAAAGATGCCCTCTGATCATGACAGTTTGTTATTATGTGGTGCCATGACAAAATGTGGGCTCTAACAAAAACGTAAACCCCCTGCAAGCAGAGACATTAGAGCTTGAGAAGGAAGTGGTTGGCCCCAATACTTGAGACGTCTAAATGCTGACTGGGAGAGAGTGTAGTGTGTGTTAGTAAGTGTGCAGCATGCACGCATGTGTGTGTGTGTGTGTGTTTGTGAGAGAGAGAATGGGAGAGTGAAAATGAGATGCAGACAGCTGCTTTCTTTGGGTTGTTTATCACACATTGGCCTTGCCATTAAAGCTAATCTCTGACTTGTACTCTGTAAAACAATAATTACATTTGAATGCTTTCCCCATTTTACGACCCCAACTCCCAAAATCTATGTCCGACACTTACAGCAACCGATTTATAATTTTCAAACAGAGTTACAGTACAATAAAATGATTTACACTCACTAAACCAAAACATTCCAGATTGTTTTACCGGTTACATGTTACGGTTAATGTTCTAGGTTTATACAAGCAGTAAAATGTTTCTTTACATTTTTACTATCAACCATCAACAATTTCCAGGATTCTGAAATTGTAATGAGTGTGGAATCTTTCATGTAACTCGGTATCATACTGTGTTTTTATTCAAATGAATTATAGTATACAGTAACGTGATGTGATGTCATTTCAGGAAGTGCTGTTAAAGCGATCAGCAGACTTAGTAGAAGCCCTGTATGGAATGCCCCACAATAACCAGGTATGTAATCATATAGATTTTTATTGCAGAACTCGTAATATGGCTCTCATTCTTTTAAACATACCCCTGGCATTTATTGAAGTTTTTCCTTTTTGCGATTTGAACATTGTGTTTTAGAATGTCCCTTTTTTATTTTCTTTGATTAATCACAGATTAAATTAACATCACGTTTTATATTTAAAGAACAGCCAGGTCACAGGGACCTGGGAGGCCAGGATAACTACATCTGTAGTGTCTAGATGGCAGAAATAGGCTAAATGTGCTGACTAGGGAGAAATAAAGGGTAACATGGCCCAAATAAAAGATATGATCAGGTTAATTTCTGGTCAAATAAATATGCAACACTACATATAAAGTCTCTAAACTCACAATCACCTATGGTATTCTCTCCACCTTCCCCCTCTCCCTGTCCCTCCCTCCCCTCAGGAGATCATTCTGAAGCGGGCAGCTGACCTGACCGAGGCCCTGTACAGCGTCCCCCGCAGCCACAACCAGCTGCCTTCGCTTAGCGGCTCGGCCGCTCACTCCGGCATGATGGGAGTCAACTCCTTCAGCAGCCAGCTGGCCGTCAACATCTCCGAGGCCTCGCAGGGGGACCAGGGTGAGTGTCACAACCCCCCACCATGACCCTTCACCGCACGACCCTCACCCTTCACCCTCTGATCTTCTCACACCTTCTCTGTGTATTGGTGTCCCCTGTAGATACGGTATATGTTGTAGATGTATGCTAGTCCAATGTTTCTCTTTAACGTAAGCTTCATGGCTATCATCAGTGAAACGTGTGCGTGTGTATGCTTTTGCATGCCTCTGTGTGTGTGAGCATGGACGTGTTTAACTATACTTGTGGGGACCAACTGGGGACATTTTGTTAGTCCCCACAAGGTCAAATGCTATTTCTAGGGGGTTTAGGGTAAGGGTTAGAATTAGTGTTAGGGTTAGAATTAGGGTTAGGGTTAGGTTTAGGTTTAGGTTTAGGGAATAGTGAAAATAGGATTCTGAATGGGACTGAATTGTGTGTCCCCACAAGGTTAGTTATAGAACACTGTGTGTGTGTGTGTGGTAGAGAAGGGGTGTATGAGAAGGGGAGGTGCTAATGAGTTAAAAAATGCAGACGATGTGGCATGAATAAAACAACCAGAGTTTAGACACTGAACACAGCAGCTCGGTCAAGGTTTCAGGGAGCAGAGTGTGTGTGTGTCTCTTTTTTTAGTGTAAGCTTGACAGCACTGTTGCAAGTGTGAATTCACTATTTATACAATTCCAAAAATGCATAAGCATGTTATTATGCATATAGTATAATGCAAAGCCCTCCACACACGAAGGCACGTATGCACACACACACACACACACACACACACACAAACACCACTATCCTAGAGAGGGCTGTTTCCTTTGACAAAGCAGCTTTGTGACTGATGCACAGGAAATAGGTCTGAACGTGTGATGAACAGATTGGCTCACGTCGGAGCTGAGGATACAGGCAGAAAGAGGAAATGCGAGAGATATCTAGAGCTGTTTTCTCTCCCCTGACACCTCAGCATAGTTCCTTCCTCCCTCCCCTTGTCTGCTTTTCACATCGACCTACAAGAGAACACCTACAGTAATCTATGAAGTCATGGGAACAGGACTGCAGCCATCATGAAGATACATCATTTCATACTGTATGTCCATAATCATTGGAACAGTAAAACCCAGAATCAGACTTTTCCCCCTACTGAAACGCCTCTTTCTGCTCCTAGAAATTACGTACTATGATTAAAACATTAATATAGAGGGCGGCTCATATGCCAAGCTTTATGAAAGGAATGAGGAATGTAATTTACTGAAGCAATTCCAGACGAGGGTTATGGATCTGCTTTACATCACGTTGTGTGCTAAATGGATTATATCATTTCTCCTCTGGCATTTGTCTTCAAACTTGCATCCACTCCACTTGTTTTACTTTACGTTTACAGTTTCCTCTGGAGCGAATAGGGATACTACCCCGGCCCTTGTGGCGCGTCTTGGTCTCATTGACCTCCAGAGGCTGACCTCGTCATTGCGTCAGTCAGCGATAGCTGGATAGGGTTACTGACTGCTCCCCCTAGGCTAGTCCTTCATCTCTCCCCCCAACAGTGGAGTGGAGTTGCCTTAACCCTCTCCCCCCCTCTACCACCCCCCAGCTCTTAGTTGATTGGCCCTCATCTAGGATGTATTGAATGCTACCTGAGGCACTATGGGCTCCTAGCCATCTGGGGGCTTAGAGACCAGAGAAAAAGGTACAGTGTGCTCTCACTTTCTCTCTCTACTTTTTTCCTTGTCTCTCTCTCTCCCTTCCCTCCCCTCTCTCCCCCTCTCTCTTCTTCTCTTTTCTCTCTATCTCTCTTCCCACTTCCTGGTTTGAGCCAACACAATTCCCAGCAGTAGAGCAATTGATGGAGCGCTACCCTGGGATCAGGGAGAGTGCAGGCAATGGGAAACACATGTCAGGAACAACAGTGGAGGGAGCGGCAGCAGGGACAATCCCTCTCAAAAGCCAAACCGTGTCCGATTCAACTCTTCAATTCATTGGGGAAACATGGAAACTTCACACTATGGTTCCATTTTAAAAGGCCCTACTCTTACCAAATCGAATGATCACTTTTGACATAATATTTATTAACCCTTGTTCTGATTTGAAGTGTAAATGGAATTGTGCTCAAACAAGTAGGGGACAGGGGAAATGCTGCTTCGGGTGGTTTTAGTTCTGGAAGAGAGCAATGCAAATCCTGAATACTCAATATTAGAATAGTAAGAATATGGTCCATGCTTTTAGAGTTTGTCAATGGAATACAAATGTGATGTTGTTCAAACTGCACTGTGCTGATGCCATTAGATTAACCATAGCATTTCCTCCTTTCGTCCAGGTTACTCCCGTAACTCCAACAGCGTATCGCCCCGTGGCTACGTGCCCAGCTCCACGCCCCAGCAGTCCAACTATAACACCATCACGTCCACCATGAATGGCTACGGAGCAGGCATGACCAACCTGGGGGTGCCAGGCTCACCCAGCTTCCTCAACGGCTCCGCTGCCAACTCCCCCTACGCAAGTAAGTACAGCCTTATTAGGTCTGAATGATCATTAATATATCTGATTGCATCTCAATGCATCAGGTCTCAAGGCACGTCACATTCCGTGGGGGGATCATTTGGGTAGTTATATGTGGTGGGATAGCAACACACGGTTTCATTAGGACAGTAGTATTCTGATTCAGTCCAGGAGGGATGCAGTGTCTGCTAGTTATTCTCATACTTCCTGTTTACACAGTGATTGGTTTAGACCTGGGGCACCAAGTGTGTGGACTCACACCAATTTAGTATTGATCGATTCAGTAGAGGCAAAGAAACAGAACATACCAGCATCCACTGCCGTTCTGGAGGACTGGTGTTGAGGACACCTGCTGTAAGATCTGCATCGGAATTCCTCACACACATCTCACAGATGACATCACAGGGATTCCTCCTCTCTCCCTCAGTGCTAGAACCCTTCAGTGTCTCTGTCCCTGATCCTTCCTTCTAATTAACATGCTTAGAGTCATGATTCCACTCTGAGGTTACAGGTGTTTTAGAACTCTAACTGTCACCCACTGGGACTTTTTGAATAGCTGATTGTTTTTGGCTACAGCATCAGATATCAAAGTCTCCCAGAGATGTGTTTAGAGCGTGGCAGACAAAACAATGCCAGTGTCTCAGTAGTTGTAGATTTTATTTATTTATTTTATTTATTTAACCTTTATTTCGATTCTGGATACTAAATTGGATACTAAACTGAAAGTGGGTTTTGGTCTTGCATTTGATGTGGAAGGTTATGTGTTGTCTACTAAAGGGAAAGGTTGGGTTTGTCTGTCTATACAATGCATTGTAAAAGTCTTAATCTGCTTTGCCTATACCTTGTTCCATCTCCTTCATTACTTACCGCTACTAACATTCTAACACCCTCATAGTATCATTCATGCTTTGGGTCAAACCCATTATTTTGGATTAGTAACACAACATCTCAACTGTGATGTTACAGAGCAAGTATAAGTCAATAGTCCAAGGAAGATACAACAAAATAACTATTCACATGTAGGGATACATACAGTTTGCATTTTGCCATCCATTTTAGAGTTCCATTTAGAATTTTTGTATTTGTGAGATATGGGACTATAAGCTGCTTCAGGGGTTCATACTTTACTGGAATCATATTTCTTGTGGTAATATGCAATAACTACAGAAACTAACCAAGCCAGTATGGGGGAGAAGGGGGTATCAAATACACTGTGCTTTAAATAAAATTGCTTTATTATCACACTCAGCATTTCATACATGAACATTCTACACAGACTGTACACACATACACACACATTTTTTTTTTTTTTTACATGGATGGAGGTTGCTGCTATCCTCAAGAACAAGTATGAAAAATGTATGCACTCACTAACTGTAAGTCGCTCTGGATAAGAGCGTCTGCTAAATGACTAAAATGTCAAATGTAAACAAGGTATTGTTGTGTCAAGTCTAAAATGGGCCTTCAAGTTATGGATCAACTTTGCAAATATTGTGCACCTTTTACTCCGAGCAAGTTACTCCAGACCTTGACCCTTCTTCAGGCAGGCATCCATTCCTCAGCCCCCATGCATGCCCTTACTGTACAGCTCATCTCAGTCCACTCACTCACCAACCTCTGTCTGTCTGTCTGTCTGTCTGTCTGTCTGTCTTCTCCGTTAGGATCTACCACCTCCCCCTCCTCCTCCTACTCCTCCTCCTCCTCCATCCCTCTGTTCTCCGGTGGACCCATAGGCCCTTATTCATTCTCTCCTGTCCATATGATCTCTGCAGTCAAACAGAAGAGCGCCTTCGCCCCTGTCGTGCGGCCACAGACCTCCCCGCCCCCCACCTGCACCACCACCAATGGCAGCAGCCTACAGGGTGAGCATCCCACCCCTCTCCTGCCTCTCAGTCCCGCCCACTTCTGCCTGGGTTATTGTTAGAAAGGGCATTGTCATGGAGACCCTGTAATGCTAGAATTCACATGACATAATGATGTGACCTGAGGTAGTAGTGGATTGAAGGACAAAGTTGATCCATAACTGCTGGCTCTTCGTAGAGTGACTTTTCAAAACATTCATCACAATCAAATAATTTGGCTGAGAATCTTTGTTGAAATAGAGTGACTGATTATAAGTCAATGTAACATGACTGGAAAAGTTGTTATATTTGAAAAATATAATTTTGTCATTCTTAGGTTTTGCAGCAAATCCATATGCATATCATAATTACCTCAACACACGGCTTTTCATTTAAGAGGGTGTGTAATGATTTTCTATGGGATATGTATCCTTACAACATTCTATTACAGTTTTATCGATGCAAATTGTGTTATGGATACAAAACGTCTCCCCACATTATTAGGTAACCAGCGTGTCTGTCTTTCAGCCATGGCAGGTCTAATAGTCCCACCTATGTGAAGAGGGCCTTCTGCCAGACTGACCACATCTCCACTAGCTCACAGAATCTCTACAACATCAGCTTAAATCTCATCAACCTCCAAAACAGGACCATCAAGCCCCTTCACTCCTGGAAACAGAACAGCACAACAAAGAAAATCCAAGTAACCAGAAACCCATAAAATGTCGCTAGATTATCTTTGTGTTGGTTCAGTAGTTGACTTCGTCACTTTCTGTGTTTTGCATTTTGGGACTTGTAAGCCATTCCTTGTCCAACAGGTAGCATTCCCACATAGATATGTATGAAGGGTTAGCTAATCTGAAAATATAGCAATGTGAATAATAAATTGTGGTTTTGAAAGGCAGGTAGTTACTCCTTGTCATGTGAGTATTGTCCTGCGTCCTATAAGGTTAATTTGCATGTCTGAAAAACTATTTTGACTGGATCTTCTAATGAACCTAGTTCATTGTCAGTCATATAACCACTGTGAGCAGGTAGAGTCTAAAGGCCTACAGTTCAAAACTGTCAACTGTGGAAAAAGTGCAGAATCCAGGAATATCCAACACTCCAGAATTCCCCACAATGTCTATAAAAAACCCTCTTCAAAAGGCAACTGATATCTAATGTCATAGTCTTTTAGCATTTTCTTTGTGTACCATAGCTTTTAATAATGTGCGTTTATCATATCTGAAGGAAAATGCAGTCATTTTCTAATCTAACGAAAGGGTTGGCACACATTCTGCCGAGGAGCAAATAGCCAAATGTTGTACTAACAGCCCAAGGTTTGAGGTTAAAGGGTTTTGGATGTCTACCATTTTTGAAACACAGTACAATAGATATATTTCCGGGTGTGTTGATTGGTAGATTTTAACCAGAAATGCTTGCAGCAGTTTTAACCACATTTAGGTACCAGATTTCTTGTTATTCTTCTGATTGTGCTTATTTTGTATGTATTTATAAAGTATGTTTTCGGATTCCTTTTGTGATTTAGGCCTGAATGATAGTCTTAAATATATATGTAAACACATTTGATGTCTTAATACCTTTTAGATATTGTAAAAAGAGTGATAAAAGGAGAGGAACAACCCTTTTGTAAAAACAAAAAAAGTCAAACATGACATGGTCACCCTGTCTTTTAAAGCAGGATATACGCTCCACCACTTTTTGTATAAAAATGCTTTTCCGATACTATATTTAACTTTTTTGTATACAGCATTTGTGTTTTCCCCAGTTCTCCTTGTCCTTTGTGTATTATTGTGAAATGTGTATTATCATGGTTATTTCTTAATGCACTATTTTAGTTGGGGCACTTACAAGAGCAATGCATCTTAGCAAGCAAGAAAAAAAATACTACAAATGAAAAAAAAAAATACTACAAATGAAAAAAATATACAAAAGACAAAGGCTAGTACAAGTATGCGCCAAGATGTTTTTCTGTTTTGTTTTGTAGCCATTCTTGGATTCACATTTTTGTCATTGTGGCTAAAATGGCAAGGTTGTTTTCGTGTGATTTTCTCTATTTCAAAAACTCTTCCATCGTAATCCTCCATACTCCTTACTTTAAATTTGAGGTGTATTCATTTTTGTTCATTGGTTAGAATTCAACTCCTTTCCCATCTTAACTGCGGACCCAAGCCTATTCCTTGTTTTGGTGAGAATGAATGTAATACACATGCCTGTACGAATCAGCTGTGAAGTTGAAACTCAAGTAAACCCTCCAATAACTGCTGTAGAGGGACCACTCAAGTGTAGGGTTCACCGATCTCAAGGAACCTTCCATTGATGTTAGTGTTGTTGGTGGTGTTATTGTCATTGCATACAATCTGTATCATGTACTTATGCAATTTGTATTTCCTGTAATGCAAGCTATCGCTCCACATTTCAGTGGAATGGTTTTGAAACGTAAAAGAACACAAGACATAATTGATGCCTTACAATAGAACATGCTCCAATACAATGCATTTTCATTATTTTGATACTCTAATTGAAGTGTGGTCTTAGAATAAAAAATGTGAGTTATGCTGTTGCAGATTTATTTATTCCTTATTTTACCAGGTTAGTTGACTGAGAATACATTCTCATTTATAGCAACGACCTGGGGAAAGTTACAAAACATAGTAGAAATACATAGATGTCTAAGAATTAGTTAAAGTTGTCATTCATTTGATGGTTTTGAATAATCATTTGAGCTGCAGTGGATGTAGTTTAAACTAGGATATGTTGGACGGTACATCCTTCTCCAAATTTCCACATAGCCTGTGTAACATAATGATAGTGGACAACAGGTCACAAATCAATGATGCGCCTGATTAAACCTTTGATTTTATGTTAATTCTGTGCAGTGATTGACATACATTGGCTATCATCGGTTGGCATCAACTTGTAGTCATAATGTGAGCTTGTGAAAAAAAAAAAACTGAAGGGAAAATCTGTTGACACACTTTGAGAAATACATTTTTCAATTACGCCAGCTCATATAATGTCATCTGAATTCAATATTATGGACTTCTAAACCCATTTTCAATGAAAACACAAGTTTTCTCTTCGAGTTAAATCTTGGCTGACTTCTCACAATCCTCCCCTTCACTCCCATTCCTTGTATCCATTCCATCCATATACTGAGTTTTCAAATAGCTTGCAAAAATGTATTTTTTTTTGTCATAGTTGTAGAAAGCTTGCTTTTTGCTGCCCTGGTTTTCTGCAGAGGTTTTATAAATTGCAAAGTGTACTTTCTCAATGTTTAATTCAATATGAAAAGGGGAGAGGTACTGCATCTTTGTCAAATATGAAATATATCATCAAAGTATACTGTATCAAAGCACAATGTTTAATTAATGTCTTTAAAATACAAATGGGGGGGGGGATCTCCCCTGCTTTTCCTTTTCTGTCTTTTGACCATGCTGTAAATAGATGCATGTTTTTTCTGTGATCCAGTGCTTTTTGTACAGAAACAGACTAATAAAGAATACATTTGGCTTGAAAACTGTCTTGTATTGTTGATGTTCTAGGTTCTGCATTGGAGTTCATTCTGCTTAAGAGTGGCTTATCGACAAATCTACCATAATCTATTCCCTCACATAGCAGGGGGCAACAGGAATCAAACCAAGTACTCCTAGCTTAATAAGAAACTTTCCAGACAAGCTCATCCTTCAAAAGCTTCAACCTTTTGGACGCTAGTTCTAGCCAACACTCCTCAGTCTAGGGGAGATATTTGTGCAACAGCCTCCAAAGACCACATTTTATGATGAAAATCTTGGCTCTCAAACCCTCAAACTGGGATGACATATTGACCGGTGCGTATCTGAATCAATCATTCAAAGTCTGAGTAAGAGCAACAATTCCTCCCTCTGTGAATGATAGCATAACATCAGGCAAAAATATAATCTCGATGGTTGCAAGCCTAGAGGTTGACTTTTACGTGTTCTGAGTCAAAGAGACAGGTTTTCAAAACTGTACAAAGTGACTTCATCACTTCAAGGCACTACACAGAGAACACATAACACAATTAATTTGTGCATGCTAGTGTGCGTGTTTGCAAGAGTTAATGTGTTTGTGTGTCTGCGTACCCATTTGGTAGTGTGTGCACAGGTTTACTCAGAGGTCATAGGGTGTGGCCGCTTCCTGAGATAGCTGCCCTTAACTCTGCCCGATAACTCTTTTTGATGCTATTAGAGTAGACCCGCAGAGGTCTTTATCAAGTCCGCAGCCCCTCAATAGGAAGTCTGCTTCCCATCTTTCAAGCATGTAGGAGGAACACAACATAAGCTATCTAAGAGACTTAGCATCCGAGACTACAAAAGGCAATGCCGATTAGACACCATTAGCTTTCTCAGCCACAGGTTGTGAGTAATTAACCCTACTTTGGTAGTCAGCAGTATCTTGATGAGTTTTGATGACTCTTTGTTGTTGTTATACGGTGCTCATTAGTAAGGGCCTTCGCCAAAAGCCTTCTAGAGCACGTCCATAGAAAACCAGAAAACCATCTCCCACAGCCAGAGTCCTTCCCCTGTAAGGCTCCGCTACCAGAGCCAAAATACATCTTAACTCTGCCAAGTGAGGGAGGAAGCTGAGCAGCCCAGGCTATATAAAACATGGCCACCATCCCATAACAAGTGGTTCGTCACGTAGAGAAGCCATTAACGGGTTTGACATATTTCAACGAGAGCACTCCATAATACATGACCAGGGTTTCCTCTGTAAAGATGTAATGTAAAAACGGTTCTCATTCGGGGCTAGGCTGTTGATACTTGAATGTTGTGCGGTCACACTCTGAAAGAGGAGGATGTTGTAGTGTTTCTGGGTGATTTGGCTAGCAACACATAGGGACTAAGTAATGCATCTGCTAGAAGGGGGGAAGGAGGGGAAGAGGAAGCTTCCACTAAGAGGCCGAAGCGTGACCCCTATTCATATGATGGCCATGGTGCACCTCAATACTTTCTGGAAGCTTCTTTTCCTATCATCTGATCACTTCAACCTTGCTGATCTGAAAGGACTGGATGGGTGTTAACAAGAGGGAACAATCGACCTAGGC